CAGCACATAATGCCAGAGTTGTTAGTGAATTTTTAAATACTACTACAAACTTTGGCAATAATTGGAAACAATGTTTTCCATCATGGTATGTTTATCTCCATAACAACATTAAGTTTTAAATATTGTAATAATTTTAACATTCTCTTAGTTCACCGAGAGAACATAACCTAGAATTTGTGACAGAGAGATTTTTTGTTGGTGAAAATCTTATCATAAACCGTTTTGTTTACTTCCAAATGTATCAATTATTATAGTTCAGCTCCTAAAGCACATTTTTCATCCATCTTTTGAGGTTTTAACGTTATTTTGAGGAAGAAATCCTTGATTTAAATTTGAATTTTTCCAACTTTACTCATTGTTGAAATTTGGCGTGTACTCCAATGTATGTCTAAAAACAAGAAAAGGCAACGTTGAATACGAAGTTTTATTACGTTTCATAAAGGAATAAGGGAATTTTAACATTCTCTTAATTCACAGAGAGAACATAACCTAGAATTTATGACAGAGAGATTTTTGTTGGTGAAAATCTTATCTTAAACCGTTTTGTTTACTTCCAAATGTATCAATTATTGTAGTTCAGCTCCTAAAGCACATTTATCATCCATAGTTTGAGGTTTTAACGTTATTTTGAGGAAGAAATCCTTGATTTAAATTTGAATTTTTCCAACTTTACTCATTGTTGAAATTTGGCGTGTACTCCAATGTATGTCTAAAAACAAGAAAAGACAACGTTGAATACGAAGTTTTATTACGTTTCATAAAGGAATAAGGGAGAAATCAACGAAAAAAGAATTAAATTTTGAAGGTTAATTCCGAGAAAAATCAAGAGATGACGCTAGTTTCAAAGCAAGAATTTTGAATTTTGAAAAGGGCGCGAAGCTAAGAGCCAATCAGAAACGAGGAAAAAACAGTTGGAGGGCCGGGGTATATAAGGAGATCGCGAACAGGGAGTGGGAGAGTCGTCGTCGGACCAGCGTCGAATCCACGTCGTCAGATAGAAGATATTTTGAATCTCAAGATATAACCTCAAAAATTTAAGATAATTTTTTTAAAAGTCAAATCAACTTACGATATTAAAATAAAAACAGAATCATCCTACAACCTATTTCGAGATCATCCAAGACCCTATTTCCGAAGAACAAGCAGTTCAATTTCCTGTAAGAAGAATCCTGTAGACAATCCAGAAAATTAGTTAGTGCCCCAAACACAAGAGACTCCTTAATCCAGATACCACATTGAACTCCAATCCTTTCTTTTTCGCAGTAAGTCGGATGATAATTTTATTTTCTTATTTAACATAACCTACAAAAAGAAAAATCAAAGAATCAAACTCAAAGAACAACTCATAAGAGTTTCCTATAATTTTGATCAATACTTACTTGTGGGTAAAGATTTATTAGTTTTCTTGAATAACGTTTAATTCTATTTTTCTTCAACGAGTTTGATGACAACTTAAGACATTTGTTATTTTCAAGGAACGGTTCTAACGAGTTTTATCCTACCCTCTCTCTCTCAAATAATAAACGGGTTTTCTCTAATATCGATATTATTATTACTATTTTATTTGAAAATTTATGTCTCGTAAATAATTAAAGTAAATTTAGGAAAACCATTTTTTTTGTTACTCATAAAACGAGTTAATTTGATTTTGTGTTTAATTCAATGAATTTTTTGTCGAACCTAATTAATATTCTTTTGAACCTGAACTTGCCCGAAACCTCTTAGTTCACCGAGAGAACATAACCTAGAATTTGTGACAGAGAGATTTTTTGTTGGTGAAAATCTTATCATAAACCGTTTTGTTTACTTCCAAATGTATCAATTATTGTAGTTCAGCTCCTAAAGCACATTTATCATCCATAGTTTGAGGTTTTAACGTTATTTTGAGGAAGAAATCCTTGATTTAAATTTGAATTTTTCTAACTTTACTCATTGTTGAAATTTGGCGTGTACTCCAATGTATGTCTAAAAACAAGAAAAGACAACGTTGAATACGAAGTTTTATTACGTTTCATAAAGGAATAAGGGAGAAATCAACGAAAAAAGAATTAAATTTTGAAGGTTAATTCCGAGAAAAATCAAGAGATGACGCTAGTTTCAAAGCAAGAATTTTGAATTTTGAAAAGGGCGCGAAGCTAAGAGCCAATCAGAAACGAGGAAAAAACAGTTGGAGGGCCGGGGTATATAAGGAGATCGCGAACAGGGAGTGGGAGAGTCGTCGTCGGACCAGCGTCGAATCCACGTCGTCAGATAGAAGATATTTTGAATCTCAAGATATAACCTCAAAAATTTAAGATAATTTTTTTAAAAGTCAAATCAACTTACGATATTAAAATAAAAACAGAATCATCCTACAACCTATTTCGAGATCATCCAAGACCCTATTTCCGAAGAACAAGCAGTTCAATTTCCTGTAAGAAGAATCCTGTAGACAATCCAGAAAATTAGTTAGTGCCCCAAACACAAGAGACTCCTTAATCCAGATACCACATTGAACTCCAATCCTTTCTTTTTCGCAGTAAGTCGGATGATAATTTTATTTTCTTATTTAACATAACCTACAAAAAGAAAAATCAAAGAATCAAACTCAAAGAACAACTCATAAGAGTTTCCTATAATTTTGATCAATACTTACTTGTGGGTAAAGATTTATTAGTTTTCTTGAATAACGTTTAATTCTATTTTTCTTCAACGAGTTTGATGACAACTTAAGACATTTGTTATTTTCAAGGAACGGTTCTAACGAGTTTTATCCTACCCTCTCTCTCTCAAATAATAAACGGGTTTTCTCTAATATCGATATTATTATTACTATTTTATTTGAAAATTTATGTCTCGTAAATAATTAAAGTAAATTTAGGAAAACCATTTTTTTTGTTACTCATAAAACGAGTTAATTTGATTTTGTGTTTAATTCAATGAATTTTTTGTCGAACCTAATTAATATTCTTTTGAACCTGAACTTGCCCGAAACCCTGATTTTTTTTTAATAAGAGTCTTCAAATTAAGGAACCCCAAATTTATAGTTTAATAACTTGTGTAAAAACAACTAGTGAAACATCACAATACATACATTAGTTTTAGATAGAACAAAATGAATATTTGTTAATTATTCAATAACTATAAGAAATATACCCCACAAACCTAGAAGTTTGTTTTTTAATATACTATTTACGTCCAGCTACGACAATCAAAGAATTTGATACTATTAATTGTTAATTTATTGTTATGAACAAATTATAAACACAAAATAATCAACATTTAATTGTTTTATCATTTCATTTCACGTTTAAATGCAAATTTATAATTTATAATAGTACATTTGTTCAATAAGTGAGGTTAAATCGATGTGACGTTAAGTTTTTGACATAACATTAAATAAATTCTAAATGTCATTATACAGAATTTGGTCTTTTTATTAATTTATAACTTTAGAATACGCAGTTTTCGAAAAAACTATTTCGTCATTAGATAAAATTAATTGATTTAACTAGTTCTTTTGGCCTCGAGTTTGTTAAACCATCTATGGAGTGATATTTCTTGTATTTCACTTAATAAAATACCACAACAGTCTTGTTGATATAAGATAAAGCTGACTTGGTGATTTCCAGGTTAAGGCTGTCACTGTCTAGGTGGACGCCTTTTAGGGATTAGCACAAAATTCTTTTCGTGGTGAACTCTTTGTAAATGGACGTTTATTGAGAGATTTATATGGTGCGTTTGTTAGCCATGAATAGAGTTTTTCTTTTAATTTATAAAGCTACACATGATCTTTAACTTTATACATACCTCCCAAATCAGATTATAGCATCCCAGCTACTGTCACTTTAACAATATTCATTATTATACACTTTACGGAGTGAATTCTGACGGTGAATTGTAACTATCTTGTACTATCTCTTTAGCAATTCAGATTAGATCACCTCGGCGGCGAGCAACCTCGACTAATAATACTTTAACGTACTACAATCTAAATTCTAGCGCTTCGGCCGTGAGGCAGTTGCTGCCTCTTTAATATGGTGGATTGTAGTGTTTCGATTACTATCATTTTGAGTCAAAATGGATTTGTCCAGCTTCTTTCCATAAGGTTAGGGTTGCTTTTGGGGTTTACAATGGTGGTCATCAGTTTGCACAATAACTGGAGCATCAATGTCCACATTTTTCTTTCACATATTTTTCTTTATCTATCAAAAAACGATGGAGCGGTTAATCACCATGTCTTCGTAGCGGAAAAAGTACTTCTTGTCAATTTGTATTGTTCAAAATTGATGGCGATTAGCTATAACGTAATCGTAATGTGAAAGTTTTGCTATTACAGGAACTGTATATGTCTTGTTTGGAAATGGATGATGATAAACATAATATAAATAACTTAATATGATATATTTCGCACATTCTTTAGAATTGCGGTGACCTTTCTTCAAGCTCCACATGCACACAGCAACTCTGAATTAAATTACTCTTAAAGAGTAATTGGGTTCCTCTCATAATTGTATGAATTAATTAATAAGCAATAGTTTTGTTATAAGAAATAATTACAATAAAGAGGAGATAATGACATTCCATAGAAAAATCCTTGTAAATCGAGAGCCTAGAGAGTTTATTAGTACTTCTTCAAATCTAAAAAATAGATAAATACAATTCAATCAGATAAAAACAACAATAAAATCAGTGATTTTACCGTAATATTATAATTAAAATATAAAGAACAACTCACGTATTGATATCAAAGTTGATATACCGAGGATAGTTAAAGCTGATCGTTGAAAAATTTCATAAAAGTTTGTTATAGTTCTCATTGATTTCGTCGTTATTTGTAAAAATGTTTTAATCAATGATAAATCCGTTCGTATTTCCGTCGTAGATTAAGAAATATTCTTGTATTTAGTAAAAAAAAACGAAACATAACCTCCAAATCCAAAGTATTCAATTTACGGGTGATTACAGCCAAAAAGCTTCCTGAAATACCTAAAAACATAAAGCTTATAATGAATTACATCAGATTCAAGTGATTTTAATCAGTTTAAAACCGAAATGTTGAAAATTAAAAATGTGAAGATTTTGATAATAAATTTTGGAATTAAAGAAGAATTAATGTGAAAAATTGTGTCAAAGGGGAATGAAATAATTCGGAGTATTCAGACATTGAAGGATTTCAATAAATATAGTTTATTTAAAAAGTAATTTTTGAAAATTTGGAAGAAAAACCAAATGTCAATAAGAGATGGCGCTCAGAAATACAAATTTTTTACACTTTTTCTTGTGGTATCAAAGAGGGCGATGGACAAAAAAGAGAAGTTTTACCGAAAAAAGGGTGAAAAATGAATAACGAGGACGCTAAGTTCGCTTCCTGATCATCATTGAGTAAACATCTATTTCGAAACGCTCGTGAAATCCTACGAAGATAAATTTCTGAAGAAAAAACATAACCAAAGAAATTCACAATTGAGGGAGAAGAAAAGAAGCTAAAATTAATTAAGAAGAGTACGATAACCAACCTGGGAAAGAAGACATCGGAATAGTTTTTCCGGAAAGCCACCAAGGGGGTACCAGCACATTCCACCAAGGGGAAAAAGGAGCAGTTCAAATCAGGATTTCAATCAATTCCACCAACATCTGTAAAACCAAAGAAGTTAAGATTTTTTTTTTATTTTCGATATACCATTTCTAAAAAAATAACTCACTTATAGATTAGAAAGTTATAGATTAACTTAAATGTTTTTTTTTAAAACATGAGCAACTGTGTTTCGTTTACATGAGCCCTAGAAAACAAACCCTGAGATCGTTTACTTTCGTTATTTTTTGTTGTAGAGTCTCGTGTTAGATATTTTTTTTCTAAAGATTGTTATTTATTTATTGTATTTAGTTAAAGTATCTTTATTCATTTTCGAAAGACGAATACACATATTATCACACTATGTTTCCATTATGGATCTTGTTCCGCTCCAAAACTCTCTTCCATTATACCAGGCCTCCAGTAACCATTTGGACACCTTTTTACATAACATGGTTGTTTTAAATATATCAGGTCCTCGTAAATGTTTATATACTATATCAAAGTTTTTCTCGATTACGGGGTTCGAAAAGTTATTTGAAAACCTTACGTTCAAAGATGTGCAGTGCTCGTCCATCGTTTTTTGGCCCAATGTTCAGGTCTTCGCTACATATGTGAGCAGAAGTGTCTCCGAGATTATTTGCGATACACACAAAACCATCAATTCATTTTCCAAGAAGCATTCGCCAAATTAAATTGTTAGCAAAGGGGGTCTGGTTAACAGTCAGGTTAATTCCCTTTGCAGCTTGTTCCAGTGCGATGAAGCATATCTATATATACGATATTGGTGTATCTTAGCACTTATTTCGATCTATAAAAGATTTCTCGGAATGCCTTTTCTAGTGCGAGATTAAAGAGTACTTATGACAACCTGTTGATATTATATTCAAGGAATTTCTCCAGAATTTGCCGCAATGAACGAATTTGGTCGACCTTACAAAGGTGAATCCACATTGGTACTCGCCGACCACATCTCCTGAGCATAGAGCTGAAGTCTGCTATTCTACAGTATATTCATTTTACAATAGGTCATCAAAAATGGTGTTCTAGGCACTTAGATATACAGGGTGTTCATTTCAAAACTTTCCACCCCAATTTCTGTAAATCCGAAAGTTTAAAAAGAAAATCGTTGAAATAAGTAAAGAATAAAACCAAGGGGGACAACTTTTTATGCAAAAATTGACTCACTCACTTCAACCCCCCGCCGCCAAAAACCAACCCCTTATCACCAGATCACTATATCAGCTAGATCACCAGATTTGACTCCATTAGACTTTTTTTTATGGGGTCATTTAAAGTCTGTTGTATTCACCCCTCAACCTCAAAATTTAGAAGAACTTCGTCAGAGAATTACTGCAGCTTGCTGTGGAATTCAAAGGGAAGTTTTTGAAAATGTGCGCCGTAGTTTTGAACAATTATTAAGTTGATTTTCTCTGCAAAAAATTTTTGTACATAATTAAATAACTGAAAATAAAATAGAACGTTTCAAGCAGTTAAAAGTTGTTTAAGTAATAACTAGGGCACGGAATTTTTGTAACAAAACGATACGATTTCCCCCCTCCACTCGTTCTCAGCAGAAAATTTCATACAAAAGTTGATCTAAATTAAATTCTAAAACTATTTTCTCAATAAAAAATATATAAAAATATATATATAAAAATTTTTTTGACGTTATGTTCTTAATTATTGATCAAATCAAAAATTTTTATTAACAATATTTGTTTAGAATTACTTCAGGAATTAATAAAATTTTTTGCTAACTTGAAATTTTAATTTCCCTCTGAATAGTATGCTATCAAAATGAATTATCTCGATAATTATTGTTTTTATCAAAAAATGTTTTAAATAAAATTTGTTTCAATTTCGATTTTGAATCAATTATCTTAATAAAAAAAATGTTGATCTCTATTAATTAACCATCTAAGTATAATTATGTATAAAAACGGAAAAATTATTATTTTGAGGTTATCTCCTTAATTATTGATTAAATCAAAAAAATTTGTTAACAATGTTTGTTAAGAATTGCTTCAGGAACAGTGTTTGTTAAAACAATTTTTTTCTAACTTGAAATTTTAATTTCCCACTGAACAGTATGCTACAAAAATTAATATTTTTGAGGTTATATCCTTATTGTTGATTTAATCAAAAAATGTTGTTAACAAAATTTGTTTAGAATTACTTCAGGAACAGTGTTTGTTAATACAATTTTTTGCTAACTTGAAATTTTAATTTCCCTCTGAATAGTATGCTATCAAAATTAATTATCTCAATAATTATTGTTTTTATCAAAAAATGTTTTAAATAAAATTTGTTTCAATTTCGATTTTGAATCAATTATCTTAATAAAAAATTTTTACATCTCTATTAATTAAGCATCTAAGTATAATTATGTATAAAAACGGAAAAATTATTATTTTGAGGTTATCTCCTTAATTATTGATTAAATCAAAAAAAATTGTTGACAAAGTTTGTTTAGAATTGTTTCAGGAACAATTTTTGTTAACACAATTTTTTTCTAACTTGAAATTTTAATTTCCCACTGAACAGTATGCTACAAAAATTAATATTTTTGAGGTTATATCCTTATTGTTGATTTAATCAAAAAATGTTGTTAACAAAATTTGTTTAGAATTACTTCAGGAACAGTGTTTGTTAATACAATTTTTTGCTAACTTGAAATTTTAATTTCCCTCTGAATAGTATGCTATCAAAATTAATTATCTCAATAATTATTGTTTTTATCAAAAAATGTTTTAAATAAAATTTGTTTCAATTTCGATTTTGAATCAATTATCTTAATAAAAAATTTTTACATCTCTATTAATTAAGCATCTAAGTATAATTATGTATAAAAACGGAAAAATTATTATTTTGAGGTTATCTCCTTAATTATTGATTAAATCAAAAAAAATTGTTGACAAAGTTTGTTTAGAATTGTTTCAGGAACAATTTTTGTTAACACAATTTTTTTCTAACTTGAAATTTTAATTTCCCACTGAACAGTATGCTACAAAAATTAATATTTTTGAGGTTATATCCTTATTGTTGATTTAATCAAAAAATGTTGTTAACAAAATTTGTTTAGAATTACTTCAGGAACAGTGTTTGTTAATACAATTTTTTGCTAACTTGAAATTTTAATTTCCCTCTGAATAGTATGCTATCAAAATTAATTATCTCAATAATTATTGTTTTTATCAAAAAATGTTTTAAATAAAATTTGTTTCAATTTCGATTTTGAATCAATTATCTTAATAAAAAATTTTTACATCTCTATTAATTAAGCATCTAAGTATAATTATGTATAAAAACGGAAAAATTATTATTTTGAGGTTATCTCCTTAATTATTGATTAAATCAAAAAAAAATGTTGACAAAGTTTGTTTAGAATTACTTCAGGAACAATTTTTGTTAACACAATTTTTTTCTAACTTGAAATTTTAATTTCCCACTGAACAGTATGGTACAAAAATTAATATTTTTGAGGTTATATCCTTATTGTTGATTTAATCAAAAAATTTTGTTAACAAAATTTGTTTAGAATTACTTCAGGAACAGTGTTTGTAAATACAATTTCAGCGATTTTCTTTTTAAACTTCCGGATTTACAGAAATTGAGGTGGAAAGTTTTGAAATGAACATCCTGTATATAAGTTACTCCATCGTATATCCTGTCACTTTAAAATAAAGTGTGAATTACAGATATCTTATGGAATGTGATGACGTTTGTAGTTCATGTTAATTTTCCTTTATCTAAAAATGAATCATGATTTTCTACAAATTTAATTAACTAAACTATAAAATAATCTTAACGAAAAATAATTTTAATCCAAAAAATAAACAAATCTATTATATTGAGATAGATAAGAAAAAGGTGATTCAATGTACGCGTAATATTTATATTTGAACAAGATAGGTTATCTATTAAGAGGAATAAAACTAAATATTTTAAATATTAATTAAAAATATTTTTTTATTTCTAGCGTTAATAGCAACAGTATTAGCTATTATGGTGATAGCTGTAATAGTAGTTTCAATTTACATATTCACAGATGAAGAGAAACCAACACAATGTGGTATTTTGTAACAATTTTAAACTTTTATTAAGTAAAATAATTTCAATTTATTTAGAAATCTCGAACTCCACTGATTTACAACTTACTCAAATTGGAAGTGTTTTAATGATTCAATGGGACATTAATGAGCCGTGTATTAGAAATTATAAAGTATCCTTGGAAACTCTTGGGTCATATCCGAATGAGGTGCTAACTGATAAAAATTATTATGTTTATCAGGATTTAGATTATTGCAGCGAACTCACTGTTGTTGTGCATAAAGAAACTATAATTATATCTAAAAAATTTACACCAGGCAAGTATTAAGAATTAAAAAAAAATTTTTGGTGAGATAAAATTTTAGAAATTGGGAAAGTAAATAACTTGGAGATAGTTGATGGCTTAGTAATGTGGGAAAACAAACATTTTCGTAGTTGTCGTTATAAAGTTAAATTTAGCGATCTTGATGAGTATGAAGTTGACGATTTTTTTAATTTGCCCGCTTTGGATACTTGCAAACCTCAATCGTTAACGATCACACCGTTTAAATCCGAAAACATTGGGAAAAGTACCACTAAAGAATTTGAATTGGGTAATAAAAAGTGTTGGTTAAAATAGATATTTAATAAATTTGTATTAAACAATTTTAGAAATCGGTGAAATCTCCCAATTAGAAATAACTCCCGATAAAATGCAATGGGATAATACACAAGTAAAAAGTTGTGATATTGAAATTTACATCAATGGGGACCTTTCTGTGACAATTACTTCCGGAGATAATTTTTATATTTTCACACCGAGTTTAATGTTTTGTACACCCTATGAAATTAAAGTTACCGCAATTGAAAGAAATTTGAGAAAAACAGGGAATACATTTTCCCAAATCTTTGAAGATGGTAATTATAACTTGGCAAATCTATCTTGGCCTTAATCATTGAGACTCGACTCATGGCATAGCAGTGACTTTTCTGGTTCATCTGTAGTATGTACAGGGTGGTTCAAATTCGATCTATCATAATTCGGTCTATTTGTTATTGTTTTAGAATAAAACTAAAAATAAACTTTTCTTTTAGTGTCGTCGAAGAAATTAAATTTACAGTTTCCTGTAAATTACGGTTCTATAACTAAAAATTAAAAAAAAACATATTTCTGATATTTGAAACAAATTTATTTCTTGAACTGTTTAATTTATATATGTTTTACACAAAAGTTGGAATAGATTGCATTATTTCACATTTTTTATTACGATTTAATATTATTTTTAATGAAACGTCAAAAAATGTCACTTGAAAATCACGCATAGAGATGGCGCGAACTTTAACCAACTTCATTTAGGTGAAACGTCAAAAATGTCACTTGATTAAGTAAGGTTAGAATGGATTAAGATTGATATAAATGGATTAGGTTGGTAACAGCGGGTTGAAAATGTTTAAACAAAAAATTATTTTAGTAATAAGAAATAAAACTAAAACTAGAAATTTTGCGGGTTATGCTGTGCATCAAAGACGTGTTTCCAAAATACTGAAAAGTGCTTACAGAAGACAAGAAATTGCTATCAAAATACAGAAATTGCTTCCAAAGGACAAAAACTGCTTCCAAAATACTGAAAAGTGCGTGTAGAAGTCTAGAAACTGTTACTAAAAGACAGAAACTGCTTCTAAAATACTGAGAATTGCCTGCAGAAGACTAGAGACTGCTACCGAAAAATAGAAACTGCTACCAAAGGGCAGAAACTGTTTCCAAAATATTGAAATATGCTTGCAGAAGGCTAGAAATTGCTACCAAAGAACAAAAACTGCTTCTAAAATACTGAAAAGTGCTTGCAGAGGTCTAGAAACTGTTACCAAAAGACAAAAACTGCTACAAAAAGACAGAAACTGTTTCCAAAAGACAAAAACTGCTTCCAAAATGCTGAAAAGTGTTTGCAGAAGGCTGGAAACTGCTACCAAAAAACAAAAACTGCTTCCAAAATACTGAAAAGTGTTTGCAGAAAGCTAGAAACTGCTACCAAAACAGAGAAACTGCTTCCAAAAGA